CCGTTGGTGACGTTGTAGTGTCGTTCGTGCTCGACGCCGTGCGAGGTAAAATCAGGGCTAATCGTCAGCAATTTGCGCGCTTTGTCGTAAGTCACCGAGCAGAGCCGTGTTTCCGCATCCGTTAATCCGGTTGTGGGCTCGTCTCTGCGAGAAAGATCGGCCATCACGTGCATAGTGGTACGCTCGGTGTAGAGATAATGATTCGATCGGACCCTGTCATCTGTGGATCTGTCATCCACCACACTCTTGTTGTATCGCTCTCGAAAGGGCTTACGATTCTGCATGGCCGGCAACGCAGTCTGATTCTTCACGGACAGATATGACCTGAAAACGAGGAAATTATTAAAAATTTGCGAATAATTACAAAACGAGAAATATATATCGAAACAAAGATCGCATTTCCTATTTTTCTCAATTCCCAAAAGAATCTTTTATACAGAAATTGTTACGAATCTTTTATTATGTAAGAATTTTCTAAATAAAGGTTGTAATCTTTCTCAAAGTCTCAAAACTTGTTTTACTTTTCATCTTACATTTGATTTTTCCAATAACAATTCTTTAAAAATAATTAATCTACAAATTTGATGTTTAAAATGCTAACAGACTTTTCCAGAATCTTTTACAGTCGAATAAAAAAAAATAAAAAATAAATATTTACATAAAAATTAAACAATCAATGTAAAAAGAACGATATGTAAAAATTGTCCAGATGAAAAGACAAGCAAATGTGTAAGAATCAGTTCGCCATTAGTCGCTAGTAATTAGATTCAATGCCCTGCCTGTAAGGTTTCGTCAAGAGGTCATTATCAACATAGTAGGAGTCGTTCTCCGTGTAGGAGTACAATCGGGCGCCCTGTAGCTGTTTATCGCGTATACGCTGATGGTAATCCCGCTGACAATCGGTCAGGCAATTTTTCTCGTCTGCGTAGAAATCTATCTCGAACGGGCTGAACACCTTTTCCTGCCAGCTAAAAATACGGTCCTCCTCCTCCAAGAAGTTGGAGTCTCTGGTCTCGCCGCCCTCTTCGGATTCCTCGGCCAGCAATTCCGCCAGCGGAGACTTCTGCTGCACGACTCGCACCCTGAAAAAACAAACGCACGCCAAGTGAAATCACTGATATAATTCGGCAATGGTAGCCTGTATAATCACCAGATGCCCAGGATTCTCCGTTTTTCGCGGAAACGTAGAGATCGAAAAACTCATTTGCTCCTTTATCTTCGATCGCTATTTTTTATTTTCGCCGGTGATTATTAAACTATAAAAATTAATTGAAGGAAAATTGGAAATTAATCTCATGTATAATTTTTATGCGAGAGAATTGAACAAATGTAGGATTCTTCGATATCTGAGAATTATATTTTCTGAAAGCGAAATTTTCCTTCATTTTTTATTAAAAGTAAATTTTAAAATTTAAGAATTTATAGGATTCTTCCGCCGGAAGATAATTCGCAAAAGAGACAAAAGTCCAATTGTTTCGAAATGAAAAATACGTGACTCAAGCTATTTTCATAATCACAGGCGCAGATGTTAACGACTGCGAAGACGTGGGCGAAGAAATGGAAAAGTGTGCGATCGTACACGCGGCTATAGTTATATAATATCCGGACGTTCAAGAGATTTATTTTACATTAATTTATCAAACACTGTCGTTTTTAACCTTCACTTTGCTGATCCCGCAGCTAGGAATGCGGAATTCTCTCGCAACGCATATTTTTTAACTTAATGTTCATCGCATATAGAAAATTAAAGAAGTTTTTCATTCTCAGAAAATTATGCTAACCAGTTTTTTACATAATCTAATAAAAATAGAGTCGTATAACTTCGTAATATTTTACACATCATAGACATTAATGTTAATGCCATAAAATTAAATAAAGAATAAGAAAACTTGTTTTGATTGATTATATAAACGTACTCTCAGATGCGGACCTAATGGATCCATACGATAGAGAGTTAATACATCGCACAAGTGTTTTTTCATTCTTGTAATCATCGCGCTTTTGGAGGTCTGATGCCGATTTAGCGTTATTGGAGATGCAGAATTTTTTGCAATATAAAACTCTTTTAAATCAAAATTTATCAAATACAACAAATTGAAGATTTCTTTATCCTATTTTTCTGTGTATAACATTATTTTCAATTTTCTATTATATTTATTTAGAAAATTTTTTATTTTGTTACTTTAATTATTAAATATCTCATTCTTAAAATTAAATCTAAAATAAAATTCTTTTAAAGTTGTATTGTATATATATGTTACGCATATATAGTGACAATACATATAAAATAAAAAATAATTTAACGTAAAAGCGATTTTTCTCCTTTTAACACATAAAATTAAACCGCAAATTTCAACTAACATTATTTTGAATTTTATATATTATATATTAAAGACTCATAAAAAGCTTCAAAAGCACATTACCTTATCTTCAAATTGCATATCGGTTCGTTCACTCTGTAGCTCGCTGCTATTTTCATTTTCTCCATTCCGTACGACATTCTTAAGTCGTCAATATGATGTCGAGCCTGATTTGATTGTTGTTACGGACTTGTTGAGACGGAATTGGAAGAGCGGAACACCGAATAAGCTCCGGTAGCTGTCAATGATCGCAGTTGGCTCGTTTGTTGATTTGCTCGTCGCCAAGCAACACCTCGCTAACTGGAACATAACGCCGGCATTGCGAAATTCAAAGCGTGTGAGAAAGAAAATACGAATGCGCTTAGGTTAAGAAACACCGCGCTCAGACTAAATTATTATTGTTTTACATGATTTTGCAACATTTGCCAGCACTAAAATATAAAGTTATGCAATATACAATCAATTTCAGTTATTGTTTCATCATGTAAAATTAATGATTAAAGGCTAAAGGCATATTCTTCAATTTACGTTACTATTGCATCCAGCCAGTGTAATCAAATTAAAAAAAAATAGTTTATCTATATATCTTAATCCGCTTTCGCACATCATACGGTCGATGACAACATACAAATCATGACAAGCATATTTTCTATTAGTGGGTGTGCGTAAAAACCCTCTTTCTCTCTCTTTCCTTTGTAGCCTCATTAACAACTTCCCAATGAGTCAGTGTGATGCACGCCACACTGATGAATATTTCAGGAAATGATGAATGTCATGGCTCCTCTAATTAGACATATTCCTGACGAATACTGCTTGTAGAAACGGCGACGAGTCGGTGTGTGCTGCATACGTAAAATTTCGAATTGTCTAGAATACATCCTGCATCTGTAACAAAAGAAAACCTGTCCGAATACTGATGGTAGGAATAATGATAAGTGGGATCTACCGTTGGTCCCAAACTACTTACATCATTAATGGTCCATTATGACCTCCCCCCGCCTCTCCAACTGCTGCTTTGACAAAGACGGCTCGTAAAAGCAGTTTAACCCTTTCGCAACCGGACCGCATTTTTTCGCTTGTTTTTCGGACAAATTTTTTCGGCTTTTGTTTTGTGGTACGCTAAACAAGCCAATACTGGTATTATTTTCATCTTCTATTTTCCTTTAAGAAATATATGGGATATATTTACTCTATTAATCTCTTTTCGTAGATAAATGGCCGAAAAAGATACGATGAATGTAATAGCGCATAGAAGTTACGAACAAGAATTAAAGATGATTAAAGATAAAAGATAATTCTTATTCTCTTATCTCGTTTACGTCCTTATTGCTAATTCCCATTGCAATTTTATATTCCATTGCGTTTGGGGCTTAAATAGGATAGTGAGGCATAAAGATGTTCCAAAAGTCGAATGTGAATGTGCTTTTAAAGATTTCTAATCGATTCTGAGACATTCTATAGTCGATCCACTGGCATGGAGAGTTGCCAATGAGTTAACCTTGCAGTGTGTCGCGCATTTTTGCCAAATGTTCGAATATCATTGTATGCGGGAGGACGCAGTCTTTTAAGGAAGGCGCGGTGTACTATTACGAATTGTGTAAGCCGGCAGCCGGCCGTCCGCGAGAAATCGAGACACGGAAAGTACGACCGACGCGCACGATCGTCCCAAATCGACGCGGAAGGGTCAGTGGCACACGTCGTCGTCCATTGGTGCGCGTCCTCTTCCGAAGTTCAAGGACCTGTCTCGCGGAATGCCGATCTCGTAGAGTTGCAGGGGCAGAGAACAGATTTTACCAAGCTATAACGGTATTTTGAAGGTTAGAACCCATCGAGCACATTGTATACATAGAATTTGACGATAGCGTGCTGTGATGCATTCCCGATCATAGCGTCATCGTGAACAGATGGAATTGCTCGTTCCGGGATCTCGTCCCACGATGACAGGACAATGCTGATCGGCGCGCTTTATCGATTTCCCGCGTCGCCTATCTGAAAGTTAGATAAGAGAGGAAATGTATCATCGCTCACCGGCGTTATCGGAACCACGAACGGCACCGACGATCGTCCGACGTGTATTTGGTACACGCCTTTAATGCGGCAAACGGCGCAGATGTGCGTGAAAGTGGTGGTGTCTGTGGCTTGTGCGTTGTTGCGTTAGAGTAGCCTCCGGGTGCTCGACGAGACGGAGCGAGCTGAGCGAGTCACGCCTTATCCTCGTGCAAAGTGAACGAACGAACGAACGATCAAGCAAACGATCGATCGATCTCATTGCCTTGTCCGCTTTTATCAGGTAAATCGTGTTCCTCTTATGTGTACCCTTGCATTAAATAAATTGCATTGTTGCACATATCCGTCCTACGATTGTACTGCGGCGTTCCGATGTGACGACACTAGAGGGGTTTGTCTTCTCGAAAACCCTTCTGTATAAGTACCTTGTAATCGTTTTAGTAAGTAAATATTTAATAGCGTAGAATTCCGCCAGAAACCTGAAAAACCTGTTATGGTCTGATTTATGCGATTAAAAGACGTAGATATTCTCGAGATTACTTAAGCTTGCAAAGTTTTATTAGTGAGTGAACATGCACTGATGCATTTGATATTTACTTTGCAGAAGTTTCAAATTGATAAGAATGTCCACTAATCGAGAGGGTGAGACTGCAGTGACCATCCCGCTGCAGTATAATGAAGCTGTAAGTGATATATTTTATATTTTATTTATGTATTTTGAATTTATATAGTGTAAACGCAATATTTGGAATGCTTTTAGATTAAATTTCAAGAGATAGAAAATATGTTTATTGTGCTTAATTAATTATTCATATGGTATGAAGGTTTTATCCTCTTTTTTTATCCTCTTGAATTATTTATTCTTGCTTGTAAACTCAGTTTTTCTTACAAATGACTCATATGTGAATTGACAAATGGAGCATGACTCATTTCTAAGCAATAGTGTAGATACCAAGAAATAGTGCTTCTATACTACTGATATGTTATATCAATTTACTGACAACAATTGATCGTAATCTAAAAAATCTTGCAGAAAATATAACGCATACTTACTAAATATTTGTATTTATGTAAGAACAATGACGTACTCATTAATTATCGCTGTTTATTTTGCAGCATTGGAAAGCTATTTTTGAGAAATACGATCTTGACGGAGATGGGAAAATATCCCTACAAGAGCTGAAAGCAATGATACGGGGACCAGATTTTTCCAATGATATTCCTGCCGGGGTAGTGCGCACAATAATGCGTAAAGCGGATCTGGATGAATCTGGTTACTTGGAATATCCAGAATTTATAGCAATGGTTAGTCTACTGACTAGTCTTTTCAATTCCTCAAATTGCCACCTAGAAATTATATATATATAATTTTTCTTTTCCATATTTGAAAGATATTTCAAACTTGTATGTAAATAAAACAATAACATTTGTAAATTTTCAATGGCTCATTGGTCTTTTCCTTTTCAGATCCATAGAAAGGACATGCAAGGTATATTCGGACATCTCGTGCAACGATACGTACACTCTGTGATACCTCAACGGCCAACTCGCGCACTGAGGCAGACTTCCGTGGGCTCGAGGTATTATCCCAGCAGACAAATCAGTACTGTAATGCACGCACCACCATCTCCCCTTCTTCCCTCGAACTTTGGCGATTCTCCCCAGGCTGCTATGATTCTTAAATCAATCAATGAACGACAATGTCGTTCTGCACGTTTTAACGATGTACCGCGCCTACAGCATCTACAGCAACAAGCCAGTACAATAACGGAATCTTCTCTGTACTCTAGCGACTATCCGGATGGCCTGTACGAAGATGAGTACAGCTGTCGACCGCCGGCCATAGCAATGATAATCATATCGCTAATAGAAATCATTTTGTTCATTTATGATGTGATTCAGCACAAATCTCTTTCCGTAGAAGGCCCGGCGGCAACATTATTTATTTATAATCCGCACAAAAGGTACCAAGCCTGGCGGTATCTGACATACATGTTCGTTCACGTTGGGTACGTATCATTCCTGCATCTTCTGCAAAATATATTAAAAGTAATTGAAGATTTTAATGCCGAACGTTTTTTTTTTGTCCTCCGCAGAATCTTCCATTTGGTCGTTAATCTTCTTGTACAAATTCTGTTGGGCATTCCGCTGGAGATGGTTCACAAATGGTGGAGGGTGCTGATGATATACATAGCCGGAGTAGTGGCCGGTTCACTCGGTACATCCGTCTCGGATCCGACAGTTTACCTGGCCGGTGCGTCCGGTGGTGTGTACGCTTTGATCACCGCCCACGTAGCGACCATCATAATGAACTGGTCGCAAATGGAGTTTGCTGTGCTGCAGTTATTAGTGTTCCTCGTTATCACGAGCGTCGACGTGGGACAAGCCGTGTACAACCGTTACGTACTCGACACCAACGACCAAATCGGCTATGTGGCACACTTGGCCGGCGCTATAGCGGGACTGCTGGTAGGCATAAACGTCCTACGAAATCTCGAGGTGCAAACTTGGGAGAAAGTTGTTTGGTGGGCCAGCATGTTTACATACACGGGTCTTATGACCGCGGCTATTTTGTGGAACATATTGTATACCTCATATTACGATTTATAGTATTCCAAGCATTCGGTATATGTCGCGCTCGAGTCATGGACAAAAACATATTTGGTAGGATGAAATCGATACATCTGCAAAGGAGAAAAAAGGCGATGAATTTGCCTTGAAAATTTTTTACGCATAATATGCACAAATTTGCTATATATTTTGATTAATGTAGTATTAATGTAAAATATTGTAAGTTTTGAGGAGAGAAAAAAGTAGCATATATTTTCATACGGACATCGCGAAGTTACGGATTTGTAACTCTGTATTTGCTATATTTATATATGTGTTAATTGTATTGAACAGTATTCATAAGTACACGTTTTCAAGAGCAAATAGTAGAACATGAGATTCTGTGATACTTTTGCGATTTTGACAAATTAAATGATCACATCGAAGCTAACCGCGAAATATTAATATTCCTGTTTTAAGACTATTGTCTCATTGTTTGAAAAACGAAGAAAACTACCTCCGCCAGTACGCACAAAACGTTAATTAGTCTTTCCGTAATGCTTCATACATCACGCAAACATACCGATATCTCGTCAATTATTCGATTGTAATGTATATAAAATTTTAAAAAATCTATGAAAAAATGCCAAATAATCAATTTTATTACGTATGTACATGTCGTTATTGATACTTGCTCACCAAATTTGGAAATGCCTTACGATTAAAATAGAATTTAAAACATTGCTATCTTAGAAAAGCTTGTCAAATAAAAATATCTGTGTATGTATACGATTCATAACATGCATACAATACAATTTAAAAATGTTACTGTATATAAGATATATAAATTATACAAAAAAGCAGTATTTTGTGATCCATTCGTTACATACATGCGGATATATTAATACTATTTGCAATATAAAACTATGTAGGTATTCCAGTGTTAAAATAAGCAAACTCTCGATATTCTCTTTCATCAGAATATTGCAATAACTACATTAAGCTACCATACGAATTGTTATTATATTGTTATACACATGGACGCGATACTACACTTAAAAGACGCGCGAAATAATAAGTATATGAAAATTTTTGAAAGCTTCGTAAATTTATAAATATAATTTGGTTCATTTAATGTACCTGATTTACGAAGCGTGAATATATTAATTTATTAGATAATTATTCTATTTTTCGAGTGTGTAGCACGAAGAAAAAAACGAACAGAGTTAGCTCTGTAACTCGTGTTCACAATATAAACATGCATTGTATCAACTATACATGATGAAGATGAAGCACACTATTTTCGATTAGACTGATAAGAAATAAGCATATCTATTCGAACAAAAAGTTATATATTTGAAAATTTTGAATAACTATAATAAATTTTCCTTTATTAGTTGATGCAACAAGCATTGCAAAGGCAACTGCTGATTACTCTTAAGCATATCTATAAGAATAATTATATATATAGTATTTTAAGATTTCCATACCTTATGTGCGTGACTGAAACGGTGCAGCATTCTGCATTACTCGTTGGTGAGAATGTTATTATTTTTGTTAATTTTATATAAAAGTGATAAGTAGGGCAGCTACGCAATCTTAGAATGTTCAGTAAAAAGGATCTATGTGAAGTCTAAATAATTTATGATCTATCTTATAATTCGATTTTAATTTTAATGTCAAAATTCCAACATGGAAATTTCCAGCACGGTTTAATTTACCTGATCTTTTAATCGTATCCTTTCTTAAGCGTTCTGGATATTACTTTCTCGATGTCGATAACAAAGTTTCTATGAACAAATGAAATAGATATAGTTCCAAGTGCCTGATACAATATTATTGTAAAACTTTATATTTACTCCTTACCTATGAATGCAATGCACTGGTATTTTCTCGTACGTGTAAGTGCCTTGAATGTACTCTCTATTGTACAATACTTTTTAATATATAAGAATGAGCTTTGACCGCGAAAAAAGCATATTTTTCTGCGAGACAGATGTAGGTTTATATACAGATTAATATTTCAGCAGATTTCAAACATTTGTCATTGTTCAACGAATCGACGAGATTGTTCATGTGTGAATATTTTATATGCGCTTTGTATAAAACAAATAAAGTGACAAAGGAATCGAATTTTTAAATTATCATTGATTGACCAGTTCGTCCGGTAGTTGGCGAAAGCGAGATGGTGCTCCTTATTTTATAACGGAGGTGATTTTTATTTCAACAAAAATAACAATTTACATTGAACTGTTTTGATAATAATATTATCGTGTATGCTACATCTGTAGTTTTTACTGTAGGCGTGGTATGCTCTCGCTCGCTATAATTAATTTTCAGTTACTTTGTTTTTTTTGTAATTAGTCGCATTGTAACAGAGCGTGTTCGTGGATAATAATCACGTTTCGTAGATAGTGTTTCGCTTCTTCTCTCACATCATCTCCTTTCTCTCTTTCTTTTCTTTTTTTCTTTTCTCTTAACTTTTTCACCTTAGCTTGACGTTCTGCGCTCGCGTCGTATGCGTTTATTATTATTATTATTAATATTATTAATATTATTATTATTATTATGATACAACAATCGGGAGGGAGCTGTGTGTACCTCGGCGTTATCATATCACTATGTACAGACTTGTCTTCTTCCGCGTACGTCGTAAGGATCGAACGATAGACACCGAACAAACCAGTCGATCAAATCTCTTACCTCGACGAGTTACAAATGAGTGTCGTCTTTTATGTCGCCTAAATTCTAGTCTAGATGATACTCGTACAGTCAACTGCAGCGATCAACTTCGTTTCGCCACGTTCCTTTGCCATAATTAAATGAAAATACGTTTTACTCACAAGAATGCTCTCGCGCTATTATCCGAGTCATTTTTTTTTTTTTTTTTTTTTTTTTTTCAAACACTCGAAGAAGTTGAACCAAATTTTGTTTCTTCCGACTTTGATCGTGACCACATTGTTATAATCATAGTCTTTAAGCAAAGTTCTTACGAGTATAAATTATAATTTGACGATATATAATTCTCATTTTCATATCTGAAACAATATATATGTTTAAAAATTATTTGTGGGACAGAAAATTAAGATAGACATATAAAGTCGTGAAAAGAAATATTCTGAACTTTGAAAAATAAGATATTTAAAATCAGAATATCGAATTTTTAATGCAACATTCAAGAGCAATTCCAAAATATCAGAACTTGTAAAATACAACTTTTGAAATATCCAAAAGTAAAAAATTCTGGAAAGTTAATATCCTACGAGATAAAATGTATCGAAAAGTCATGTTTAATTATCACGTTTAATTATACAAATCACAAGTAATTATCATAATCATTGCACATATAGAAAAAATAATAAAAAAATAATATATAAATTATAAATTTGTGTTAAAATTTTTAAATTATCATTCAAGATAATTATAGTAAAATATTCACCACCATAACAGAAGTCTACTTTCAAATATTTTAGAAATTGTCACGATGTATTATTTTCAGGATCAAGAAATTACATTTCTGATGACAAATTTCCTCAAATGTTTGAAAAAGTAAGTTAAACAGCTGTTACACACTGAAAAATCTTTCAAATTTCCCATTCTTAATGCTTCGGTCGGCGAAAGAGTTTGATTTCAGATTTCTCGTCGAGAAACGCAGAAAAATCGACCCGTACAAAAGACCCGACATCCTGAAGACCTTTCTATGTACCAACGAAAGGGAGTTTGCGTATGCTCGCTACATGTCACATATTATATGTACACGCCGAATTTTTTTTATCCTCTCTCCGATAAAACGGAGATTTAAATTGAACGTTTACTACCCTCTGACTGTGTATTGTATGTGTTTTGCGCTTTATATGTACACGCAGATCCATCCGTTAACCACACGCGTGTGCTCAAAGCTGCTCCTAAAGGCCGAGGGGTACCTCGAGATCGCGCGAGTAATCTCATCCGGAATGGTGCGACTCCAGCACTACAACGAATATATACGTTCAGTGTGAGTTATGCGAGGCATAGAATGTAAGAGAAATATGTATGAAACGGCGATAAAAGGCATCTCAAATTCTTACCAACATCCCTCAGACATCTTAAATTCTTGAGGCATCCTTTTGGGACGTAACTAAACTTCTCTGAGACGTCCTTTAACTGTGTCTTTTGGCCACTTTCCTCAGACTTTGGTGCCGGCTGGAGAGGAAGAGGGAAGTGAGGAGATGATGGAGAGAGCTAGATCTAGACTGGACTCGCACCACTCTCGACTTCTTCGACGATGACGGGAGGAGGGGACGATCGCCAAACGCGGGCTCTGTGTGTCGCTCAGGTACTATACGAGGAGGAGAAACGTGACGCCGAGGACACTCCTCTGAGTAAGAAGTACGAAGATCGAGCCACGGCTGTCGCGTTGCTTGTGTGTTGCAGAAATGCTTCATGTGCCTCGGGTTAACTAGATTAAATTCGCTTCTCTGCAGTGTGTGTGTGTGTGTGTGTGTGTGTGTGTGTGTGTGTGTGTGTGTGTGTGTGTGTGTGTGTGTGTGTATCGTATGTTGTGTGTGCACATCTCGTTATCTATATGTATATATATATATATATATATTCATCTCCACTTATATACTCTGGAAGCATTCGACGGTTTTGTCAGGACCTCGGTGGTTACTTTGTACAATGAAAAATCTTCGAAAATGCGCGGCCTTCGTGACGTAGTGCTATGAGGCTCGCAGATTCGTTTCGTCTTTTGCAAAACAGTCTAATTAACTATATAAGCGAACAATCTCAATCTTAATATTTAATCGTGTCCAATTAAAAGCTCGTCGCTTAAAATAATTTCAAGCTTTTGCCAAACTTAAAACTTTTAAGGAATTAATATATAGCTATTTGATTGTAATACAACATAAAAATCAGAAATCTTAAAAAAAGGCACGATTTTTCTCTCACGCATACAGTTAATTAATATAATGTTCAACTGTTCCGTGTAAAAGACGCGAGCAATCGGCGAGTCGCATGTTATAAGCTCCTCTCGTTAATGAAAGAGAAAAAGAAAAGAAAGTGAGAAAAAGAAAGATAAAAGGAGAATGCTACCTGTATCGAAGATACGCTCGCTGTATTGAAGATGCGGTGAAGAACGAAGAGTGCGAATGAACGAGGGCTAATCGTCTGATCGCCGGCGTACGAATAGAGGCAGTCGTCTTTGTACAGTAAATCTCTGTTGAGTCTTGATATCTCAGTCACGCGAAACGATGCGGAATATATTAATCCAGGCGGAATCCGGCAGAAGCGGCGACTCACGATGCAGCAGTTGCGCGCGTCGAAAGAAGCAATTCCCGATGATGACGATTTGAAGAGTTTCGTCAAGTAACACGTTATGACGGAGAAAAATAAAAGCGCAGACCGCGAGACAATTTGAAGCTACGTCGCGCGTACAAATATAAAATTAGGCTGTATAAAAAGTATTTACGTAGCGTACATGTGTGTGCGCGTGTGTGTCTCTGTGTATGTGTGTGTCTGTGTGTGTCACCTATGTTGCGTGTATGTGTTCCGACGTACACATTCGGATTCGTTTGAGACAGATAAAATAAATCTACATCCAATTGTTCGCTTTGCGGATGATAATTCCACCAATTTAATCGCCTGTATAATTTGTTTTGCCGTCGTTTATTAATAAGAGAACGTAGTTCGGGAGAGTTTTTTTTTCTCTTCTTCCCTAAAGTCAGTTCGTGGCTGTCTAAACCCCTAAATGCTAGCTACGTCGATTTATCGCTAAACCTAAACTCCTTATACAATAGCGTGTACGGATAATCTAGCCATATTACTTGCTCAACTTAAAAATTAATATTATGTACTATGTACAACACTTAGCGTTACAATTTTTTTTCTGTTTTTCTTAAATCTACGTCACCGAAGAAGACAACGACACTTGAAAGTTGACGCTTAAAATATCGTCGTCAAAATATCTCGATTTACGATCTCGCATCGCGCGTGCCAGAATACGTTGTACGGCATTGTTTTCTTTTTTTTTTCTTCGAGAAATTCGACGTATCTCTCTCCGCTCTTTCGTTCCCTCTCATCCTCGAACTACAGGCTACGCTTTGCACTGGTATATAACACAGTTAAACCTATTAATTTCCAGATACATCACAGACTTATTCCAAATAAAAACACGCACGCCCTCATCAGCGTTATAGCATTATCGCTTAACGATTACACTTTTTTTCATTTATGTACAAAAGAAGCGTCTGTGTATTGTGAACATGGGATATACATGTATATATATAGCCCTAAATGTTCGACAAATCGAATGCTTGCGCACGTATCGGCGTCTTTTCGTGGACTGATCAAGCCCAAGTCAAAGTAAAAAATAATAATTCGCCTCGGTTGAAAGCCTCGCGTATTTTTTTGCTATGCGAAACGAAACGCCAACGTACACGTACGCGTCTGCGAGTATCGAAAAACTTAAAAAGTGTGGAAAATATGTATAGAATACCACGTTATTTTTGACAATTATATCGATTTCCTGCCACAGTTTCGTAAATTTTCGCAAAAACTAAAATTCGACTATTTATGATGATATTCGCGGGAATTTAAAATGAGCCCATTAAGATCGCGGCAGTCAAAATCAGTTTCGTTCACGTTGATAATATATTTACATGTACATATAACTTTAGTATTCATATCGACATTATAAATTATACATCGCAAATAACTAATTAGTAGATAAAACTATTCGTCACTATGTACTTAACTGAAAGCGGGCGCAACACCAGGCAAATAAAATCAAATAAATTCGTCTTGTAAATGTCCACCTCTCTCCTTGCGTAACGCGGGAATGATCTTTGACTAAAAATAAAATGAAATTACAAAGAGTTCGTAAAACAATATGCATGGGACTTGATTTAAAACATCATGTTTGTAATCTCCGTTGGAGATTGCAAGTTTTCGAATTTGTATATATATATCTACATATTTATATGTGCATTTGCATATATTATATATAACATATAGTATGTATATAACATATATTATGTATATATAATATATCAATATATGCATATATATATAAAAAAAGAAACTTCTTAAATTAGATTTGGCGACTGATAAAAACGCAATCTGGCTTTTCTAGTGCCCACGAAGCGTTGATAAATCGTCCATATAACCAATCATCGTACAATCGATGACCATGACGTGAATATTCCTAAGAAACGTGTGTGTATGTATGTGTATGTGTATGTCACAGCATCATCTCTTTCTCTCTCTCTCTCCCTCTCCTTTCCTCTCCCTCTCCGTATCCGCCATAGCCATATGGTTGTTCGCACTAGAGAACCCCGTTAGTAGAGTATGTCGCACCAGCGTACCAATAATCACAACGCTGAGCGGAAATAAAAGACTATCAGTCCTCGTCGGAAAGAGGTTCGTATTGCGCGGAGAGCAGCGGCGCCGGCTCGGCTTGCATTTGTTCTGTTTTTGTCACGGACGCGGACGCGGTCGCGGTGGGTGGCGGTGCCGGTGGCGGCCCCGTGTGCACCCCTAGCGCACTGAACGGATAGAAGGTGGTGGTGGCCGCGGGTGTAGGCGGCGGGGGTGGTTGCTCACGGGTCGAATTCGATCCGCCCGTGTCGTCAACCATCTCGCCGGCACCGCCACCGCCACCACCGCCGCCGCCGCCGCTGTTGCTGCTACTGCCGCCACCGCCACCGCCGGATGGGCTTCTCTCCACGTTACCCGCCCCCGAGCCTTTCTCATCCTTCTCGGTCGCAACGGAGTTACCGCCTCCATTTCTGTCGGTGCCCGCGCCGCCGTCACCGCCACCGCCCGCTTTGTCGTCTTCGGTGCGCATCACCTCGACGATCTTGTTCTTCACGTAATCGAACGGCGATATCTGGTGCGGCTTGTTGGAGGGGGTTCCCGAAGTGGATGTGGCAGTGCTCGATTCATAGAAGCGACGTCCGTAGTGATTAGTTGTCGCCTCCGGCGGCGAAACCGGCTCGACCGAGTGATATTGTTGCTTTCCTGAAGATTGATGTTGTTGTTGCTGCTGCTGTTGCTGCTGCTGCTGCTGCTGCTGCTGCGTCTGCTGTTGCGTCTGCTGCGCGACGCGTATTATTTGACGCTCGTCACCGGTCTTCACTGACTCCGATTCATTAAGTTTCCTCCTCTTCCATTGATTTTCATCAGACATTTGATATCTGTTTTGTTTTTTTTTCGCAAAAATGAATAATTTGTTTAAATAATCAGTAATACTACAATTAAGGAAGAAGAATATTATGACTCAAAAAAAGTTGTTTTTACCAGAAAATTGTAATAAATATTGACCTAAAAATGGAAATTATAGATTTTGAAATTCTTGTAAATAAAATTGACATTTCACAAGCAAAATGAAAATAAAACTAAAATTACCGTAATGAATTGATGTCTGCGATTAAATCTTGCAAAAATGGACTTCAATATAAGTCGCAATGATAAGCTTGCTCTGTACACGAGCTTACCCAGTATAAGACCTGTATGACGAATGAGGTGGACCATAATCCTTGGACACAATATGATCAACGTGCTCGCCAAGAGTGATCGCTTTGCTACCGCCGCTTCCATTGCCGCTTGCACCGCTGCCACCGCCACTCCCTTCGCCAGCGGGACTATGAGCTATGCCGTTAGGTTCTTGTGGAGTTTCTCGATGAAATCCCTGTAAAACCAATTTAATTTATCAAAATAAAATTAAACACTCGATAGATGTTTTCCATTGCAATATAAGAATTTCTTTAACGCTACAAATAAAATTCCCCCCAAAAAAAGTAACGTTTGTTCACCTGAAAAAGACGATCGCCAGCACGTGTCGGCTGATTCGCGGAAGATCCACTTCCACCAGAGTTCTCGTTTGATCCCTGATTGATTTGATGAGTTATAATTGCATCTATCAAACTAGCAGCTGTGAGAGTCGACGTGTCGTTCTGCTGTTGACCGGACGACTGGCTCTGACGCGACGACGATTGCTGTTGTTGCTGCTGCTGGGATTGCTGAAGCCTGGAGGACTGCGAGAATCCGCTCAGCAGCCTCGACGAATCTCTATCGAGCTGCTGTTGGTCTCTGTACATTTGCGCGATGTGTCTTCTCTCAGCTTCTATGCGCTGCTGCTGTTGAATATGCTGCTGGATATGCTGCTGCTGCTGCTGTTGCTGCTGCTGCTGCTGCTGCTGCTGATGAAGATGCGCGAGATCCCGCTCGCGGTGTGCCTGCACAGCCATACGGTCAGCGTGCTGTTGGATTTCCTTCTCGCGTTGCTGGTGAATAGCGAGTCTCTCCCTCTGTTCCTGCTGTTGCATCTCCTTCTCGCGCTGTTGCTGTACCGCCAAACGGTGCTCGTGCTCCTTCTCGCGTTGCGCAGCGACCGCCGCCATCTGTTGATGAATCTCCTTCTCACGCTGCTGAAGTAGGCGATGTTCGTGCTCTTTCTCCCGCGCCTGTTGCACGGACATACGTGCGTGTTCGATGTGCATGTCCTTTTCTCGCTGTTGCGCAAGACGGTGCTCCTGCTGTTGCAGATCCTTCTCGCGCTGCTGATGCTGCTGCACCGCGAGACGATGCTCCAATTGCTGCAGTTCCTTCTCGCGATGCATACGGTCCTCCTTCTCGCGCATGTGAACAAGATCGCGCTCCCGATCACGATCGCGCTGATGATGCGCCGCCGCAACCGCCAGTCTATGTTCGGTCTGCATCGCCATGCGATGCTGCTCCTGCAATCGTATCTCTTGCTCGCGAAACGGCCGATTGTCGTAGCAACGATCGGCGGCCATCAGGCGATCCGCCATCGTCTTGCCGAGACCCTCATGGCCACCGCTGCCAGATGCAGCCGGATGGCCGTGCGGATGCGGCACCGGAAGACTGGGTTGTTGCACCGCCACGTCCACCAGACTCGAAAACGCCTCCAAGCCGGGTGGCGGTGGCGGATAATGCATCTGTTTTTGCGGATTGTGCCTCTGGATGACGCCCTGTCGTGGCTGAGTGTGCGTTTGCGGCGGGGGTGGAGTGCTGGCGTAATAGAGAGTCGACGACTGCGGCGGCAGCGGTTCGCTTTTGCCGGTCGTCTCGCCGGTGGCAGACGCGCCGGCACTACCGCTACGAGCTCGCGCGTGCATCTGCTGGCTAGTAATGTAATCATTCATGATAATCTGCCGACTGGACAATTGCTGTTCCATCGTGTAGCTTGGTGGCGGTCGTCCAGCAGTCGTATACGAATTGTACTGACTGCTGCCATGGCTGACCACTACAGCCGGCGATGCGGATTGATTCGCGGGACCCTGTCCCGGCGATGGCTGCGGCGGCACACTGCCCGTACCAGTGACGGGTGAATGTCGTATGGTGCGATGATAGTCGTACATGGGTGCGCCGCGTTTGTCCACCGTGAACGGATGCACCGGTGTGCCCTGAGTGATCGAGCCACCCGTTTCCTTAGGCGCCACGGGACCGGTGGAACCGGCGTTGACAGCACCGCCGGCACGCTCGCCAGTGTTGGCGACGCCGCTAACTACTGGATTACCGGGAGGTGTCATCCGCAGCAAACCTTCGTAACGCGTCGTCGACACGGGCGTGCCGTGCGTGATCGAGCCACCTTTGTGTCCCGGCGTGCCCATGCTGCTCAATTTTGGCGACAGCTTGGGATGAGGCGGCGGTACGGTCACCTTGTTCATTTTAGGAGTGATCGGCGGCGCCTGTGGTCGCGGAGAGGAAGCGTAAACAAGCGGGCTCTTTGCGCCACGTCCTTGCTCGGAATGTGGTGCGTGAGGATGGTAATACGTGCCCGGTGGTGGTTCCACCACGCCCGATCGGTAAAGTTGAACCGTCGAATGCTTGTGAAGTGGCATCGAGTGATTGTAGTCCTGTTGTAATCGAGGTTTCTTGATACTCAGATCTAACGTTCCTTCCGTTTCTCGTAGAGCCTGCTGAACTTGCATGACAACCAGGCCTTCCTTCGGCAGCATATCCGAAGAAGAAGCCTGACTGCTGGGTACAGTAGGCGGGCATGGAGTAATGGTGGCTTGCATTTGACCTGGAGAAAACACAAATTAAACTTTATAATATCGTTCAAAAGAATCGGAGTATATTATTTATTTTAAAAAATATTAAGAGGGAAAAAAAGAGACAACAACTAGTGGAATTCAAATCGTCTCAAAACATCTTGCGAAACTTGTGATTGAAAGTCTGTCAACATTGATACTGCTCCAGAAATTCGAGAATAATAGAAACATCAGCCACTTTGGCAAGTTCCGTTTGCACTTTCTTTTCTATATATCTTTCTTCCACCATTTTTCTTATTTCTTTCCTATTTGCAAATAATATATCTAGGATCCAGAAAACTGATTAAAGTTTTAAAATTTTAATCCTCAACAATACAATAGAAGGGTTGTAAATCTGTTATAATTAAATCTACAATTAAATGATCTATTTTCATTTTCTCTTCATCGTTTCTGTAACATAATATCCATTTCCATTATAATACAATTTATAATATATCGAAATATATCGCGCGCGGACAATATATTGGAGAAATAAATAATTTTAAATTAATAAGATATAATCTTATCAACATACGGCACTTGACTCGGTTCTTGTTCTGCTCTAATATTATGTATAATTCAAATGCTCTATTAACATATTTAATACAGGATGAATAATTTTTTTTCTATCTGCTTCCAATTTCTTGTGACATATTATACATTCAGCAACATACCGTCACATTGTAAGTAGTTCCGTATCCACGGTTGCATATCTATATAATTCAATTTGTTAAAAAGTAATATTTATATTATCAACTTTTGCAATATCAAACGCATGTAACGTAGACTTACCGTGAAGATAGAAAATTACACTTATACAAACGTTGTATTAAATATGAAGCGTTTAACGTCTCAATAATGTCTCACGCGTTAAAGGCGGCACAATATATTTCAAATACAAAATACCAAAACAATAATATAAGAAGATCTTCAATAAGAATGTAAGCATAATATTTGACACGTTCAAAACTTTCAAGACTTTTCGACTCCTTGTGCACTGTCTGCGACCACTGAGCATATTGGAATTTATAAGCGCTTACGCACGCGTAGTCGCCGGCAACTTAGTTGACAGTGCGCAAAGGCTTTATGCGCAAAACAATCTCGTAAGATGTTTTGATTTTCGGTCATTCTTGACTTGCTTAAAAATTTGCAAGTAAGAAATCTTATCACACAATCAAACTTTAATTTAATTTAATTTTAAATATAACAGTAGAATATTATCGAGAGACTTACCGATTTGCTGAGGACTAGGTGCAGAGCGATGGCCATGATGAGGTCCCGACACAACGGACAACGTTGCTAGATTCGAATCTCTATTGGACAATGCGGTGTTCGACATACTCGAGGATGATTTGTAACTACGAACATACGTTATGTCGTTTCGATGATCTGTCTTCAGAATACTAGATATCGTTGGTGTGCTAGAGCTATTGGGTGCGGAGGAACCACCGCCGTCGGCCGGACTGTTGGGAGTTCGCTTCAACTGCATTTCAATAACGCCAAGCATAAGATCCTTAACAGTGAGCGGATTGGAATTGTTCGTTGTCGACGGTGGCGAATGCATGGTCGGCGGTGGTTGCTGATGCTGATTTTGCTGTTGATTCGATTGCTGCAATGATGTCGTGTTGTTACTGGCGGTTGTCAGAGTCACCACAACGCCGCCATTATCCAAGTCGGTGCCTCCTTGACCTTCGTCCGCTGTCTCCTGGAACAATTAGCGCACCTCTATCAGACGGTTCTATCATGTGTAAAGACATTCGCGTTTTGTTTTTCAAAATACTAATTATGTCACTCGTAATAAAAAGTACTTACGATGTCTAAACAGAAAGAAAATATCTTACTTAAATTATGTTGTAATATTTTTTAACAGTGATTTAATTTTAAAGTTTTGCAAAGAACATTTTACAAGACATTGAAAAACTTGGAATTGTTCATACTGTAGTCGGAAGCGCATTAATACGAGCGAGAAATCAAGTTAATCGAAAACATGTAGATATCGATGAAATGTAAATAGATTACGGGATCAGATAACGAATGAGAGTCGGAGAAAAGGTTTGAAACGACATTATTGGAAACACGGAGATTCGTTCGGTTAAAGTTCAATCGCTGTTTTCCGTTCCGGTTATTATACGCGTAACTAAATAATCAATCCTGACAGTTGTATGACTTTTATAATTTATGCATTTTACGAGTTATTTACTATAAATCTTTTATAAAACATTTTCTCCTTCTCCTCACGTTATGTGTTTTACGTTTTACGGTTGGCGTTTTCTTTTTTCTCTTCTACAGTACTTGCAATTCAATACACTTTAATGACGTGCATCATAAATTTAAGTGTTTTAAAATTAAACATTTAGTGGCGTAAAAATTTGAAACAAATTTTCGTGTTACGGTAACATGACGCTTTCTACAGCAAGCCAAGCTAATACTAAAAAAAAATATACTTAAGAGCTTCGTCTTACCGTGGCTGAACTATCATAATCTTCACGAGCACCACTAGACGCTGCAGCGGCACCTCCACTGCTGGAAGACTGATGAGACGATCCAGGTGGTACGAGTGACACCACGGCTATGTCTGATAGTTTCTCGCCGATTTTCTGCTCGGTGGATCGTTGGAAGGATATCGGTAGTGAAGATACCGCTGTGGAACCACTCGCTGAATTATTACCCGTCATGGTGGTAGCCGGGCTACTTGCACTCGCCGTGTCGCTCGAATCGTGACCCTGAACAAGAAAAAGTAAAGAAGAATAAACAAAAAGAATCAATCCAATCAAATGCATGAAAATGTGAGAAAAATCTTAAATATATAATGCAATTTTTCATTAAGAAACTAAATCATCAAAATTGTATAAAAGCAACAAAATTTTACTCTAACTAAAATAGTAAAATTATATTTTCCATTTTTTAACTTGAATCTCAGATTGTACATTTAAACTGAACAATTAACTTGAAAGAATAATTTGCAAGAGAGAACTCACAGCTAACTCGTCGCAGCTACTGGTACTGCTTCCAGTACTACTTTCCTCCTCGTCAGTCAAGCATGGTCTTCGTTCTTCGCCTAACGATGCATAATATTCGGCCACAATCTGATCGAGACTCAGCTTCTTCCGATAAGCAAAATAGTAGTTTTTGCATTGATGATTCGTCTTGCCGGGTATCTGCTCGGCGACCTTCGACCAATTAGGACCGTGTTCTCGAAGCGCTTTGCGAAGCTGTTCCAGCTCCTCGTCCGTCCACTGGCGTGATAACGTGTCGGCGCCATCCTCGGATACTTCTGTACCGCCGGCGAGATACGGCGCCATACGGCGCGATATGCGGCTGAAGCAGGCCGAGCAGCATTTTGTCGCACTATTTGGTATCTCTGAGATAAAACAAGGCGAATGGTTCAGTTATGAAATACTTGTCACGTTTTATATAATATACAATTTAAAAAATATGATTATGTCGCACATTCAAGTTTCTTTTAAAAACTTGAAGCGTGATATAAAATACAAAAAAATACTTACGGATAAAATGCAAAATTTATTATAAAAAACAAACATATTTAATAAAATGTATAAGATGATAATTATCAATTATACGCACGATATGATATAACTGCAAAATTAATTTGCAAGGTGTAAAAATATCATATAAAATTATAAAATAAATGTATATATAAATGTTCCGCCTTTATTCTGCTAAATTGATCAAATCAATCCCGGAAACTCGCAAAACTTAACGATATACTTCAAGACTCAAAAAATACAAATTAATTAAAAAACTAAATTAAAAACTGAAATTTTGTAAAAATTCATTAGAAAGTCGCAAAGTACTCACGGAATTCCTGAGCAATCGGCTCCCGAATTTCCGGCGGCAGATCAAGCCACTTGGAAGGTAATGCTCTCAGCCGTTTCACGCGGGACTTGCCGAGATTCGAGCAGCCGGGCAATGGACAGACGGTATAACGTCCTCGAAGGGCTTTACACCGACAGGTATTGCAGACACGTGCACCGGGCGGCACTTGATCTTCCCGCAAACCGTACTGCGATGCCTGACTGCGCGGCAACGTGCGACTCTGCGTGCTCCCCTCGACGATGCTCTGGCACACCGTGCAAGCGTGGGGTCCTATTTGCCTGCCGCCCTCTGAAACAATAAAAGAATTTCAAATAAGAATAATAATAAAATAATATTTCTGCTTGAAAAATGTAAAAAGATAAATGAATTTCTTAATGCGAGAGGAAAAATTGCAATGGAATTCAGATAATAATACTTGGAAAAAAAATTAAAAGTTATTAATTGCCATCGCCGTCGAAATAATTAAATTTGATTCTTTAATATTAATGACCTAAGGATATCAGAATTATATGTGAGAGTTTAAATAACTTTAATTAGCGCACACACAAAATGAATTCGGTAACGGATTAAATCTATAAAATTGCGCCCAAAATTAATTGCATTTTCCCCAGTGCCAAACGGTCTCTTTTCGATCGTCCTGCGCGATATGGAAAAACGCTCCAAATCGAGAGTGTGTTTCGCGCTGATACGCCATCCGATGAGGGGAGACTCGCGATAAGGATCAAATAAAATATAGAGGTCCGCGACGACGAGGCGACGAGCGATACGCACAGGTGCAATGCACCGGCTGCGATCGCGCGTGTTGGAGATCCTATCGCGATGCAATCGCGATATGACGCACACTGTCGCTAAAACGTCAAAAGAGGAGAGGGAAGGGGGGGGGGCGATTGAAATGATTCGGTAACGCCAACGTTGTCCGCGGACTGCCGTGAAATATAAATGCGTGCATGTTAGTCCGCGCGATACGCGCCGCGGTACAAAACACAAGCGGCGATAATGCTCGATCGGATGTGCCATTCCGAGCGGTTCGGAATCATCAAATGAATCGGAGAATATTGCGGACGAGAGCCAACTGCAAAATTACATTTGTGGACACAACATTGTTATATTAACTAACATTCGCTGGTCCATCTTTGAATCCTTTTTCAAAAAGAATGTGAGAAATGGTGAAATCGAGCGGGACGCAACGGGCGACACTCACGTAAAACGTTCACGTGAAAATAAATGCACGGCAGTTGCGGCTCTTTCAGCGGCTATTTAGAGAATGTACTCGCGTTTATCCGCTATGAAATTGAGTAAATACAGTTAATCACGAGCCGCGGAAGGAACTCGAGTGAAAACGCGAGAGCACGGGTGAAACGCAGAAGAGGTGCGGCGGCGGTGGCAGCGGCGAAGGAGTTGGAAGCGAAGCGAGAGACAGTATAATTACTCGAGACTCGGCTAATTAAGGACGCCCAATTAAAAAGTTCTGCCGTTCGTTCTTAGCCCCGCGCAAACGTTGGCATCGCTCCGCTAGCTCGCTCGCTCCTAAGTAAGATCGCTTTGATAGTTCTGTCCCGCCCTGCGCTGAAACTGCTGTAAATTTATTCGCGCCGACAATTATCGCGAAATCGCGTCACCTAATAATCGCAGCTGCACCTCGCCGCTGGCGAAAAGATAAACGTGCAACGAAACTTTATCACGCGTTCGCAAAATAAATCACGAGACGCAGTTTATAAAGTAAATTACAAAGTAATCGGTCCGCTAACTTTTATAAAGCGATTAGTTGGCAAAATAGAATTTCACGCTAAAGTTGAGACATAAATCCGGATCGAGTTACGAGACAAAGAGATCAGCTTCGTCCATTAATAAGACGAGAATGTTGTATACGCAATTGTTCCGTGGCTAATCTAATTCAACGAAAATTCGAATGAAATTCGGAATTAAACGATGGTCGCTCGATGCTTGGCAATTATTCAGCATGCTCGGTGCTCTCTTTATCTCGCGAAACATAACGCGACAAATCGCGGGTCCCGAATGCTGCGCGTCTGCTCTCCGGTGACCTGTCACGCGAGCTGCATCCCGCGTGTCTTTCGGATTGTACGCGGGATTATCGTTGACACGGAATTACCAATGACATCGTGCAGCGATCGCCGGGAACGCGGAGCGGGGTGAGCGAGTGCGGAATATCTACGCGAGTACCGCGATATCGGAAGAGTTTTGCCGGGAGAGCGAGCGCGCGCCGTGTGAGAATATTCGCGACACTGATTGGCAGGTATTCCCGGGAGCGAGAGAAAATCGCTCTCGTAATTCGCACACTCCTGCCCTGCGACCCCGACAGGCCAATCCCGGAGCCAAGTAGAACGTAGCGAAAATGGAAATTTTTACCTTATCGCGGATGCTGGGCTTCGCTACCTCTGATCTCATTCGAAAATACACGTCGCGCGTGTGATGCGCGAAAAATATTTTACATCGCGCATCAATTTTCGCGCCATTTCGCATCTGTCACTTACACCATATCCGACAGTCAGTACATTATGTATGACATGGATTTCATATTACAGATATACATGGATAATAAATTTAAATTATACCTAAAATTTTAAATGCAGCTGGGTGGCAATCTCGCCAGAGTATTCCAACGATTTCATTGAATTAATCAAACATTTCGATATCTTTGTGAACTACTATATCACCAGCGCATTAACAACACTTTCCAGTATTGTATAAATTTTTCTTTCCACCATTTCGACTTTTCCACACTTCGGTGGGAGAAAGAAATTTGAATACAAGAAAGAACTTATTTTATACATAGGCAATTTTTTATTTTCGTCTTTCCTCTCGATGATGGAATTCCTCGACGTTTCAGCGAGATTTTTCTTCGAATATTCGAAGTCGTTTGACCAAGAGCACTACGGGATCTGGTACCGACGTCGGCCCCGCGGCACAAAGCGAATACAATATAGCCGCGGATAACGCGATAACACGCGTCACGTGGAATAATTCGTAAAGCACGTTCCCCGTACACTCAGTGTAATATGCTGCGCGCAGGGAGGAGACCCCGGGTGGAGAGGTGCGGACCGGTGCAGGTAAAGGAGAGTTAAAACTGGATGAAACGTCGTGATGAATAATTTATACGAGAGCCCATTCAATAGAGAACCCATGCGCAGTTGGTCCCTATTACGCGGAAACGAGTTAACCCACCATCGGGCGGTAGTTTCGAGTAAATTAAGTTTGAACTGCAGACTCCTGTATTTGCAATCCCAACCATATTCATAACTCACGACTTCAAAAATCGGGAAATAAATGGAAACAATTCAATCTGCCGAATATAAAAACGCTCGTTGCCGCACGATTGACGCCGCTCATCTTCTAATATCTGCTAAGAGAGCTAGAATCGAGCTTGAAAAAATTGATCAATTTTAAGAGAGTTGACTTTAGATTTAAAATAATGTGATAATGTGATAATAATGTGATAATAAAAAATCAATTCATTAATTTAATTTAACATCAGCCAGTGGCTGAAACTAATAATTTTCTGCAGTTTTGTCTTTCGTATCGAATGTTGAGTTTTTTCCAAGGTAGGAATTTCTCTAGAGTTGTCGGGGATATTTTGCCCCTCGACTGTGACTGACACTTCCTCTTTTCCGTTCCTCTCGTTCATGTATTCGTCGAAACAAAAGCCGCCGCGGCCGTGCCAAACCTCGCTCAAACGAGAAAGCCGATGAAAAAAAGATGCGGTTGACTGCGAGAGTGGGAGACATTATCTTCGCTAATTAAGCTGCTTGACAATGGAAGGGTAACTTGAATACTTTATAAAGGCTTTATGTGCGCCAAATGATTCGCTCGTTTGACCATCATCCGCGTACCCCTTTCCCCTTTTACCAGTATCAAAATATTCTACGAAATTCGTCCCTTCTCCAAATGGTCGTGTAATTACACGTAATTGTTCTCAAAATCCTCCCGTAAAGTCGCGATACGCATTTAAATTTTATAGCACACGTTTCCCGTGTAATCGAGGATCGAGTATTTGCAATCGACTCGAAGGTACTCAGCCGCGGCTTAACCGAAAGGACACTGCTCGTACAGTTTCCTCGCGAGGATACCGCACGCACTCTCGAAATAAAATATTCCCTTTGATTCGCAAGGTCTTGTGCAAGCCGTTCCGAAGCGTCTTTTCTCTCGGTTATTCTACAGTTCTTTGATCAATTTCACGTTAACTGCTTCTCGGCATTTTCTCACATTAAATAAAACGTTATCGCGTTTAATCCTTGGACGCGCGGCTTTTTCTTGAGAATTCGCGAATGCTCAAATGCTAGAAGAATAATTTCAAAAGACCTAAATTGAGAATACTATTGAATCCGTTCGTTCGCGAAGCTAATTTTCTCTCTCCCTCTCTCTCCCT